ATCATTTAATCTGTTTGATTCTTAGGTCTCTGCTTTAAAAAAATAGGAAAATTACAAGCACATCAGTGTTTTATTAGCACTATTTTTTTTTTCCCAAGATTAGTATAAAACTTAAATAATTGTCTTTCAGGTAATTTCCACACATTTACTCAATACACCCACTCTGCCAGCTTTCCTTTCTGATTCATAATTTGATTACGTCCTTCTATTGGATAAATCTTTGTGGACGTATGCAGTCCCTATTCATAGTACAACAGGGCTCTGTGCTTGGCTCACTCGGCTGTGCGTTAAACGACCACAAAAAACACAGATCACCTGGACAGTTTGGGCATCTCAATTTCCAATATACTTAAAGTGTACAGAAGTCTACCTATGCAACAGACAATCCTGGGGCACATCTCAATTTGGAACAGCCTTGAAGCTGCGTGAAGCCTAGCTTTTTGGAAATGTCCTTTTACAAACAAGATGCGCAGAAGCATTTCTGTGCAGTAATGAAGAGGAGGCATAAATAAGTATTTGATTTTACTGAGTTAAAGTCACAGTGTATGTTGAGGGTGATGATTAAATGCTTGGTCTTCCAACTACAATCACCTCAGAGTCCCAAACAACAGCTACAACATGAAAACCTTTTAAAATAAGTAGATGTGAATAACTTGCATGAATTTTAGAACAGCTGGCCAAAGCTTGCTCCAAGTAGTCAAGAAGTCTTACAACACTGAGGAAGTTCCAGAAGATAATTCTGTGCCAATACTAAAAAAAGGGTGAACAGAATGACCCTACCGTGTCTCCAATCTCAAAAGGCATAAAACTAGCTCAAGAACTACAGAATTCAAGTGAGATGAAATTAATGATGACCAATATAGATCTTGCAAAACATGCAGCTTGTCAAAACAGACAATGCATTTGCCTGAGACTTGCATGCCATTATATTTAGGAAATGAAGCAATAAGAAGAAAGTATTAGTTAAGTTAGTTACATTAGTCTCCAGATGCAGTTATAAACAGGAAATTGTCATTGGGAAGATATGTTTCTAATGTGTTCCAGCAGGGTTTATTTCTTAAGCATGACATTACTGAACAGTGCCCAGGAGGAAAATAATTACTGATAATATCTGCAGGCAGAAAAAATAAGAGGAAAAAATGGAGCGAAAAGTGGTCTGAAATCTAAAATCATTACAGAGGAAGCTTGCCGATCACAAAGGCTGATTGAGGGGCAAATAACACAGAGAACACCTCATCAGCCACACCACCACAAATTGCCTGTATGCAAACAAACCATCTCTGTGGCAATACCAATTCTGCAAATCATACATCTGGGAACAAATTTTCTTTCTTGGGAAACTACTCTGTGAAGATGGAATTAAGAAAGTCTTGATGTCATGGTAGGCTTTCCACTAACTGCGGACCCTCTCATGAAACTACAACTGGGAAGATTAATGCAATCCTTGGATATTTCAAGAAGATCCTTATGACAACAACGGCAGCTTGGCATCTGCTGCTTGTGAGAAACTACTCAAATTTTACGTTCTGAGGTTTTCAAATGCAGAAGTATGTTGATAAAAAAAGAGAAAAAAATCACAGGATATTTGCAAAAGTTAGCAGACAACTGGAAACCCACTTTATAAGAAACTCCATCAAATCAAAAACAAGCTAATGGTGAAAGAAAAACAAAAAAAAATCTCTTCAACACAGACATCCAGACAGACAAACAAGATTTTTAATCAAAGGCTTATGGGGATACAGTAACTGAAAAGTACACGTAGATAAATTCAGAAAATCTGGTGCAGTTACTTTCTTAATGCTTTTCCTGCCCACTCCCTGTTCTGTGCAGTAACAGCTAACACACAGATACTGATCAGTAATTTCTTTAGTATCTGACCTTCTCCAGAATGCTAAATTCAGCCAGCTCCTAAACTTGTGCAGGGTTTGAAGAGCAGATCCTAAGACTTAGTCAGGTATCAGCCAATTTGCCTTTCTTCTTCTATTTTTTCTACTCCTCCCTTCTACCTAAAGAGGACCCTGAGGGACCTCGGGACGGGGGAGATTTACAAACATTATTTTCTCCTTTCAGCACACATTTGAAACAAAGTAATGTTTGTAGCTCACAAAGTAACAAGATTGTTTAAGAGGGTAAAAATCTGTAGCCTCCCATTGGCATCAAAATGGACAATGATATAAAATTATAATGAATCACAGCATGGCTTGGGAAGAGATAGGATGGGCCAAATTCTTAAGCTGTTAGTTTATACATATATTGTTGTCAGGCAAGACACCCAGATTTGGCCCAATAATAATAACATGAGCAGCTCAGTGGGATGGGTTAGCTTTTATTTAACTGCTTTGAAATTAACATCATATTTTTCTTGAATGTTTTAAGGAAAGCCACACATACAAATAAATCTATTTTCTATAGTTTAGTTTAGCTTTAAAAATAATTTCATATAGTTCGTCTTTTACTACAGTAGCAGGCAAAATCGCATAGTTTGACACTCTTAATAGCTTTGAAATGTTTATGCATCAAGTCTCAGCAAACCACAATCAGAGGATTAATCAGCAAAAACAACCTGAGGAAAAAAAAAAGCATGTTTTAAAAACAGTCAGGAGCTTTAGTTAAACAAATAATGGTTAAAACAAATTCTATCAAAATCAATTTAAGCTATGCAAATCAAAACTAACTCGAAACACGGTAGATGTTTCTGTAACTTGGGTGCTAATCTTCAGCCCAGGGAACAGAGGTTCAACTCCTTCATTTTGCACAGGTTTCCAGTGAGACATCAGACATTGCACTTCACGTGTTTATCTTAAAAGATGTATGTTTGAGGGCAACAAAGTTGTCTAAGCTGAGACACAGCTTTATACCTGGCTTTGAGAAGATGCTTTCCCTCTTTTTTCATAAAAACATTCATTATAAGGAAAATACCCCCAAAAAATGGGCCCTATTTCTTTTGCAGTGACTACATGCCATCTTTTTGGTCTTATTATGGTCCAAACTCTCATGCACATTTTTTGTGGGCATAATGAAAAATAGCTGTGAAGAAGAGGAAAAAGATGAAAAGACCACAGATCTGTGAACCTGAATCTCTCGATATTCAGCTGGGTAGGGAAAAAGCTGTCTCAGAAATCCATTTCTACAGAATATGTTGAATTTCATTTGCCAAACACACATTGGACTGAGAGGAAGGCTATTGATCTATCAACCCCAGCGTAGAAGACAATGCAGTACAATCTTTTTACCACCTCTCACTCTCTGAAGTGTTTATTTTGGTTTGGTTTTATTTGGAGGGCAGGGTGCTGGGGTTTTTTTGTTGTTTTGGGTGTTTTCTTGGTTGTTGTTTTTTCTTTGGTGGTGTGGGGTTTTGGGGATTTGTTGTTTTCTTTGGTTTGCCTTTTTTTTGCCCTTTTTTGTTTGTTTGTTTGTTTTAAGAGAGAGGGTAAACAGGCATTCTCTTCTTCACTGATCTGCTTTGGTCTTCAGGCTGTCCCTGGCTGGTCCCAAACCACACGTTCTGCTTTCTCCTTCAGAGAGAACACTCATAGATCTAAGGCTTGACTGGAAATCTCTTTATCCCAATTTTACAAGATTTTCTATACTCCACCCTCCTCTGTCCTTTCAACAACAAATGAAGCACAGCTTTAACATAAAATGGAGCTCAGAACAATATCCAGTGGTGGTCCACCAAGGGCAGCAGCAGGACAGCATCACAGCATGTGTGGAGGTGTGTGAAAGAACACTCTTGACTTTGTATATCCTTACAGGTCAAAGAAATGATAAAGAATATTTCAAGTGGCTTCAAAGTGACATTATTTCTGGTCATCTCCACTTACAGAAGAAAAGAGGAGGAGAAAAGAAGACAGTTGGAAGCTGGGTAAGAGAACAGCCTTAAGTCTGGTCCTCACAAAAACATGCCTTTGAAGACTAAAAGAAAAATCCCAGAACTCAGGTGTTCACTCCTGGTTTCTCCCTAGCATCCCTCCGCACCATTTTCTTACTAGCGGCCTGGTTCTGCTACCCTTTCCATCTGTTATGCTGATCTTTCCACCTGTTCTCACCAACCCTTCAAGCACTTTTTGAGAAAGACCAAATTCATTCCTACACTCTGATTTAGAAGTTACATCCTTCATTAATCAAGGAAAGTAATAATTTCACTTCATAAAATAAAGTGTGATTTGACAACATTTACACATTTGAATAATGTAGGTAACATCTTGGTACCATTTTCTTTAGTTTTTATTTAGTTCTAGAAATTAATTTGACTAAAAAACTGGAAGGAAAAAATTATTTGTAATACATTATGAGAACAGTTCACCTTATCTTAGAAATAAAAATACATATTTTAAAACATTAGTGTCCAACTTTCTTCTTTCTCCTGCACTACAGCTCCAAGAAATTTGAAAACACGAGGGGAAATCCCAACTAGATAAAACCACTGGACAACCCTCTAGAAAAATTAAATATAGATGCTTGAAAACCACTTTATATTCAAACTGCAAGTGACCAGCAACATTGTCAAGTTTTTACATTTTAGAAGAAGAAGTAGTAGTATTTGGGATAAAACAAGCATCAAGAAAAATTTCCTCCACTTTACTGTATTTTACTGTAGAACATCAGCTCCACCTGCTGGTAAAAGTAAATTCATGGAATGGCGTGCTTCGGTTTTGCCCAAACCTATGTTTGGCAAGTGAAGAGTCTTTGTGCTGTCTAAGTTAAGAACTCTTGATTTCAAGAAGTAAAGAGTTGTATAGCAGATGTCTATTCTATAGTTAACAGTGACAGTATTTCATGGTCTATAGATCACTGGAAGCACATAACTTCAAAAAGTTATTAGTGCAATGCACACCAGTGGAAAAAATAGCTCCAAGTAACAGAAGAGTCACCTAGGGGTTTTTTTTTTGCTAGCTATTAATTTTCATTAAAACCAAATTATGATCAACAACACTGCAACTAAAACCAATTCTATATAATAATATAAAAATAGCATCACAAGCTACGCTTCTTTTAAAACCTCTCCTACTCCAAAAAAACACTGTATGTTTTCTTTCAATACAAGACATTAGTTTTCAAGCTTTTTTCATTGGTTTAAAATTTTTCACTAACATTTTCTAAAAACAAGCTAGAGATGTGTGGATAATAATAAAATCCAGTACCTCTAGGCTTCTCTTCAAAGCATGCAGATGAATAATATAAAGCAATGCTGAAATGAGTACTTCTTCAATTGAGGATTGTTTCAAACATAAAACCTCTTTATCGCACTCTCAATTCCAAGATTCTTCAAGTCTTCCCAAAAGTTGTCTTTAATTACTCTGTGACTCTTCTAATAAACTTGTGATTATATAAGATCCCATGTAATACTCGACATCTGAGCTCCAAACTTCCAAGCATGAAAAGAATAGTGTAATTCTAGCAGCAATGATTCAGACAGATATCTCCAAGGTGGTTTATTTAGGGAGCACTTGTAAAAAGTTAGAACAGATATCTACATAATTCAATGACACCACAAGTATATACAAAAAATTTCTATTTTTAAATTTTATTGCTAGCTGAGAAATATTTTTTTCCAAGAAAGGAAAATAGTTCTAGCTCTTCCTATACTTCAGAGAACAGTTATTTGAAACCCCTTTTGGACCTGCTTTCAGAACAAACTATTTTAAGGTACCAAATCATACAATCCAACCCACCAAAAACCTGCAGTGAGAGCCCAGGTTAGCCTGGAATTCCTCCACAAGTTAGACAGAGACACTTAGCAGGTGCTTTACTTCACAGGAATCTGATAGAATCAGATCATTAAAAGAGAATCAAAACTTCTCCATAGCAAGATATTATCTTGAAAGATTTCTGCACAGAATTAACTTTGCTCGGGGTAATGGAATTTTATGAATATAAAACATCTAACACAGCAGGCTTCACTCCAGTATTAGCCGTAAACTGTACAGGGTGCACACAAAACCATACATTTTGTTTCCACCGGTAGCATGCTGCAATGGTTAGAAAACTGTCATACTTAGATTAGCCTAAAACACTTGAAAACAACTAGCCAAAAATGTCTCTGATGAACTGCAGCAAAGTAAATGTTATTTTTTATATATACATAAAATTAATCTAAGAATTAACTAAGCAAATCTTTAAAGGCAGCTGTACTATTTTGACAGAGCAACAATAATGGCAAAGAACTTCTGTTTCAATACCTTAACACATTTACTAATCTATCTTGTATAGATGGCTTTTTCAAGGGAAACCTCAGTCTTAAAAGCTAAGCTACAGGAATAGCATTTCATGCCTTCGTTTCTCCTTTTTTATTATAGTAATAATACAGAATCCAATTTTTCAGTATTGATTCCCAAAATTTTCTGTCCATTTCCGAGGAACATCTGTTTCAACGAATAATGAAAACCCTACAAAAAGTTATGGAAAGTAGGTAGACTTACTTACTACTTACAACAGTAGGTAGAACAATCTTTACATCTAAATAAACTAATGCTCCAATAACTCTAAGCAGCTAAGCATGAAAAAGTGCAATTCCCCAGCAATGCGAGCTAGCAGACAAATCAGCAGACCCTACCACAACCCACAGCATCAGAAAGGCTTTAAGCATATTAATTGTCACTCAGTCAAGTCAAAGCCACGTTATCAGTTACCAACCCTCAACAAGTGATTTCTCTAGGATATTTTCTAATTGTCTGCTGAGTCCCTCAGTGCCTGAGGACATATAACAAAGAATAAATTGTAGATGTCTGATTTTCTCAGCCATCTATATGCACCAGCACATAGATAGTGTTTGTGCACACACACTTTTTCCAACAAAACATGAAGAGCTGGAGGACAAGGCAGTAATGCCCCTTGTCATAAACAGGCTTGGTTTGCAAATCCTATTCTCTCACTACAGCTCTATTTCCAGGTATATCACCAATTACCACAGGTGGAGGGTCAATGACATTCACGCCAGTGTCACAAACCTTCACCTCCAGTCTAACAGACAGTTTACATGGATCAGACACGTTAGCTTTAGATGAAAAGCAGAGACAGCCAATACCCACAGAGCTATCACAGCCCGCTTATGGCGTGGCTTGACATTCTTACTCCTGTTCTATGGCACCAACAGCTTACCTTAAGTGGGTGGGTATTCTGTGTTTTGCACTAAGAGTCAACTTGCCTAATTGGATCTCTTAGGAAGCAATGCACAGCCCAGAGAAATGCAGGACAGGCATTAATGAAGTCACCAGTTTTTTCAGCCAAGGAAGAGTTACTTTTTTTAAAGTTTCTGGCAATAGGTTTGGAGTGCCATGATTAGAGGCACTCAATAGCCATAAAGCAAGAATGGCAGCTAAAACAAATTGTCGCTACCTAAATTTGTAATAATGAAGCCCTCAAGTTTCCAAAGAACAGCATTACACATCAATGTACATAAATATTATACTATAAATAATTGTATAATCTAGGAGATAACTAAACATTTGTACAGCAGAACATCTGATAATACCGACATAATAGGGAAACGCCTACCCACCAGTGAAGAGATTATTAAAAGCTACTGCTTCTAGAACCAATGAATTTACCTAGAAACACTTACAAAGTGTCTCATCTGTGAAAACAGGTTAAGAATACATTCCATTTAGATTTCATTAAAAATTCTTTCTTACCTTTAATTTTCTAACAGCATCTCTTACAACTTCTGTGCCTTTGGGCTGCTCCACTTCTGTACTGCCAAGAAACTGAAAAGATTGTAATTTGTGAGAAATAAATTATGCATTGAAAGGCTTAATTAACTCAAGTAATCTTGTTTTCCAATTATTCCCAAATAACATTTTAGAAAGACAATAGTTGCAATAGTTGATAAACAACAAATCTTACAGCTATTTCTAATCAAGAGAATAACAAGGATCAAATTCTAATTGATCAAATAAAGGAGATATTAAAAGCAGCTTTAAAAAAAACATTTTATCTCGATCCTAACCAAATTTACAGACTTGTATAAGTACCTTTTTCCACTGGGAAATTGTCATTTTGGTCATAGCACCTCTTCCGGAAAATAATTGGGGAAAAAAAACCCTGATATAAGATAATTCCAATGAGTCAACACGAGCCAATGGTTTGGACTAAGTAGTAAAACTTTCATACAGTGACGTAAGATAAACTAAAAAGGCCTGATTTTGCTCTCAGAGCTGCTTGGTATAGTAATTTCATAGATTTAAATGAACTAGGCTCCAACTTACATAAAAACAAGGCTTATATTCAGAGAATTTCTTCTACAGATGAGTTTTACCAAGTAAGGTTTTAATGAAAACCAAACATACACCTGTTAATATCAAAGTACCATACTTTAAAGGGATCTTACAGTTTCTTTGTTTGTACACTGAAATGCCTTTATGTTCTTCTGTAGTTTTGCTTACCTTCTACTGTACTGTTATGAAAGGTATGATAATCATGCCTGAACTGCACCTGTGTAATAATTTAATTAATTTTGAATTGCCCAGTTTTCACATTGAGGTACAGTTGATTTAAGCCACGCTTGTAAATGACAAAGTAATGTTAGCAAGAAAGAACAAACACCCTTTTTTCCTCTAAAGTATGCAACTTTGTGTAACACGACGCATAGAGGTATGTATAAATTTTAAGTCTTGGCAGTTTCAAAAGGAACTTAAATTTGCCAAGCTACGGATGCTTTCAACAGGGTAACTCTGAAGTTTTTGATTTTATTAAAACTTCAAAACATGTTTACTGTAGTCAATGTGCTCAATCTGTACTCCTGCAAAGAAACTTTGCAGCTCTACAAATAATTAAGTCTCATAGAAATTTGCTACTGACTCTGAAATATGATGTGCCATCTTGAATACAACAGTGAGTAAATCAAAACACCATGCACATCTGCTGTCAGTATTTTCTCCTATTACAATTCTCCAGCTAGTAGACCACAGTTTTCTAATAACAAAGCAGAAACCTCTGTTATTGATTTGATGTCTTTCATGAAACACCTCTGATTTAAATAGAGGGTGCCTTTTTCCCTCGAAAAGTGACAGTTGCAGAAAACAGATATAGAGAAATAATGATTCTTAGACATTATGGATACTACATGACAGAGACAGAAAGGGAAAGGTGAGTGAATATATGTGAGCAAGTGTGACTAAAAACCCAAAAAAGTAACCACAAGCTTAAATGGACAAGAAAGAAAGAAAAGAGAATCTAAGAGGAACACTGATAATACCAGATATCTGTACACAAGCATATTTATACACCACACACTTGGCACAACACAAGAGGTAGAAGTATAATTACTGTAAAGTTTGTGAGCAGGCCAGGATACATTATATGCAGTACAGGAATTCCGTACTGAAACACAGGAAATAACGGCTGCAAGTATGGACAAGGCCCAATGAACAGAGAACACAGGTCACTGCTGCCCACAGTGAAGTGGAAAATGGCTGAGCGTTCTTCATCCATGCATGCTTCCTAATTATTTCTGTGGTTTTGAAACTGACAGCTCCAGAGCATTATCAATATATATTATTATCAATATAAGCAGCCTGGTACTTCACACCAATTTAGGGCCAGGCCTTGGGTGGAATTGTGTTGAGTACACTTCTAGATGCCCCTGGGGTATGCTGCCTCGCCTCAGCCTCTTCTCCAGAAGGGCACAGGGCTGCCCTACGTTTCTTATTTGCACACTTCTGTCCAGATGAATGAGATCTGAGATGGCAAAAGGTATCTCAAAAGCAATAGTAATTTCTCCTCTCTTTAAAAAATATCTCACTCTGATTCAAAGTCCAAGAAAGACTTGTAATGACCCAAAATCAGAAATTACCATTTCTGATCATGGAAAGGAGGGAGAACTAGACACCTAAATTGAAAGATAAACTGCTGAAAGCACAGGTTTAAATGACTGACAAAATCTGAAGAAACACATACTAATTGGGTTTGCTCAACAAGTTACAAAAGAAATAAACAACCAAGACCCAAAGTATATGGAAACATCATAACCATTGCGTCAATACTTACGAACATAACTTAACCAACCAGAATTAGAATCATAGAATGCATTGGGCTGGAAAGGACCTTTAAAGGTAATCTAGACCAAACCCCCTACAGTAAGTAGGGACACCTTTAGCTAGATCAGGTTGCTCAGAGCCCCATCAAGCCTGATCTTGAATGTCTCCAGGGATGGGGCCTCCACCACCTCTCTGGGCAAGCTGTTCCAGTGCTTTACCACCCTTATGGTGAAGAACTTCTTAACATCCAATCTAAATCCACTCATCTCTAGTTTAAAACCACTGCCCCTCATCCTGTCACTACGTGCCCTTGTAAACAGTCCCTCTCCAGCTTTCCTATAGGCCCCCTTCAAGCACTGGAAGGCTGCTATAAGGTCTCCTCAGAGTCTCCTCTTCTCCAGGCTGAACAACCCCAACTAACTCAGCCTGTCCTCACAGGGGAGGTGCTCCAGCCCCCTGATCATTTTTGTGGCCCTCCTCTGGACCCGCTCCAACAGGTCCATGTCCTTCTTGTATTGAGAGTTCCAGAGCTGGACACTGTACTCCAGGTGGGGTCTCGCCACCAGTCATTCGCAATGCGCTGTCTTCCAGATGAATATTGGTTTGACATCAAGCATCACTACTGAAATTTTTGTTGCTCTCAGCAGATTTGAGCTGGATGTGGAATTAGAGCTTATGCTTTATAAACTATTCAGTGTAGCAAAATATAGTAAAATGTGTTTAATCCAGAAATACAAAGAAGATTTGTAGCTTTAGTATTAATATCAATCAGAGATGACAAGACCATGTCATTGGTTGCACTGTTCATATCTGATACATATTTATATCTGATATGTAATGGAACTCAGGAACTTAGGGAAGTGATCATTCCCCTGTACTCGGCTTTGGTGAGGCTGCACCTCAAGTACTGTGTCCAGTTTTAGGCCCCTCTCTACAAGAAGGACACTGAGGTGCTGGAGAGGGTACAGAGGTGGGCTACCAAGCTAGTAAAGGATTTGGAGCTCCTCTCTTATGAGGAGCAGCTGAGGGATCTGGGGCTGTTTAGCCTGGAGAAGAAAAGACTGAGAGGAGACCTTATCGCTCTCTACAACTACCTGAAAGGAAGCTGTAGCAAGGCAGGGGTCTGTCTGTTCTCCCTAGTAACGAGTGATAGAACAAGGGGAAACGGCCTTAAGCTGCACCAGGGGAGGTTCAGGCTGGATATTAGGAAGAATTTCTTTACTGAAAGGGTTGTCAGGCATTGGAACAGCCTGCCCAGGGAGGCGGTGGAGTCACCATCCCTGGAGGTGTTTAAGAGATGGGTAGATGTTGTACTTAGGGACATGGTTTAGTGGTGTTGACAGAGCTAGGACAATGGTTGGACTCGATGATCCTGAAGGTCTCTTCCAACCGAAACTGTTCTATGATTCTATGTATTTGTAACTCTGCTAACTGAAGTTCTATTTTTTTTGTTCAGGTAAACTCAAATTTTAATTATAACTGCTTACAAATTTCATGCCTGCCCTTCATAAGCTTTCTCATTTTATTTATTTTTTTATTCTTGGTAAGAGACTAATAGAGAAAAATCACAATTAAGAGCAAATACTCTGAACATTTGTATTAATTAGACTGATCTGTTTTGGGGCAAAATATCAACAGGATTTCAAATCAAGACAAGTTATTTTCTAATTGTAACAAACAACTATGCAACACAGGTTCAACATACAGCTAATGCATTAACTGGAGGCTTTTTATTGCTTGCTTTTTCATCTGCTGCATACCTTTTCTGTGTGATCTGCCCTATCATCATATTTTGTTTAATATTAGGTACCAATTACTATGGCATTACTCTCAACAGTTAAGCTAAGTAAACATGTATTTGCAAAGCTGAGACTTTAGATGACAAGTTCAATGCGACGAAGGCCTCTGTGTTTGTATAATCCCTGACACAATGGATGCGCTGCAACCTCCGGGATTTCTAAAGTAACTAATAGTTAATTCACCATCCTAAAGAAATGGGAAGATGGCTATTTCATTATGGTCTTTTCAGCAGATTTTTCTCACTGTATTTCACACAAACACAGAGAACGATACTTGCTATATCAGGAATTGAGTACAGCTGTGGCTTGAATTGTATAAATATTCATTGTCGAAGAGTTTCTGCAACAAAAATTTCAAAGTGAAATTGGTAAATATGAAACTTCCCTTTTCAAGATCAGGCTCCTTTAGAAAGCAATACTGATGCAGAATTCTAGATGGGAACTTTGAAAGTCAGCAATTGCTTTGATCACTTCAGGTTCCCTCCCACAGCTATGGCCCTTTTGCAGGCCCAGCTAATGAGGAACGACAACATGAAACATAATCGTTCCTGAGAGTCAAGATAATACAACTCCTACACTTAATGGCAGAAGAAAGAAACAGAAAATAATGTACCAGTTCCCCTTCAGATAATTCAGCATTAATCCTACATGCAAATTAATAAATGCATTACATTCTTAAATATTCATTAACATAAATACGTAATACAAATGGAACTGTTTACATATGATTGTTACACATCTTTACTGTTTGCAATTAGTAAAAGGGCTATTCTTGAAGCTGGTGTACTTCATGCATACTAAGCCAATTCAAACAAAAACAGTAAGTTAGGTATGCCACTAGATTCATATTTTTAAATATTTATGTACTGTTTAGCGCTAATGAGAAGTTCATCATAATCATATTGATTTTCAGTTGCATACTTTAAGAAG